TTTTAAATTTTTTTTAATAAAAATTTAAACTTATTACTTATAAACAATATAAAAATAATAAAAACTCTTATAAGTTTTATCAAAGTATCATTAAACAGTAGATAATGACGTGGGAGATTGCCATTGGTTACATATTCTTGGTTGCTAGACGACAAAACAGAAACCTTAAGTAAATTTTTTTTTATAAAAAAAATAATTAAATTAAATATTAGTATTTATTGTTTTGTAAAAAGGTTAAATTTTGGAATTAACTGCATTTCACTTACTATTCAATAAATAATGTGACCTTATTAGATCACATGAGGATTGTACCTTAAGTATTAAATGAGAAAAGGCCTTTTATAAAAAAAATTAAAAAATAATTTTTTATTACTTTTTTATAACTTTGATAATTTATTTTTTTATTATATTAAAATTTATAATATTATATATTTATTTAAAAATATATAATTATATAAAAAAATTTCATATATATTATCCTATTAAAAAGTTATCACTCCCACTTCAATAAAATAATTCAATGATTAAAATTTTAAAACTTTAAATTAAAGATTTCAAATTCGAACCTTAATACAGGAGAAATTTGAAAATAGTAAAGAATTATCCCCCTTGCGTAATTCACAATTAAATGCACCAAAAAAAAAAAAAGAAGAAGAAGTTATCACTCCTATTTAACATTATGCAATTCAAATTGCATGAGACTCTTCATTTATTTATTTCATACTGGTCACTTACAAAGAAAAAAAAAATACTCAATTTTAAATAAAAATAATTCTATTTTTTTTCATCGGAAAAATATTTTGTTTGATTAAAAGAATTATAAAGGAATCCTCTATCCTTAAACAATGGTATTGCACCTTACTAACATAGGAAAAAAAAAAGGTTTATAAAAAAACATAAAAAGTGAAGATATTTTCACTTACTTCTAGATGATTAAAAAAAAAAAAAAGCTTGTTAACTTTCACAGAAAAATCAGCTTTAGATGATTTCCAAGTTTTAATGCCCATGCCATTATGGAACCAGAGTAAACAAATATTTCCCCAAGAGATACTGGACCACCAAATGTTTGAAATTTTTAGTATAAAATTAAAAATTTTTAAGGTAATGAATATTAATTTGGTTAATGATTTAAAGGAAGAGAATGTTGACAGGAAATCAATCTAGCCTTACTCTCTACACATAAGTTTAATCGCAAAGCAAAGAGGGAGAGGGAAATTAGGTAGTTGCTTCATATGTTGCTAAACATGATTGCAACATTGAACTTACATTTCACTCAATACGCATTTTTTCTGTGCAATGTTTTCCAAACATGTAAGTAAACTTTAAAGGGTGTAAAACCTGGGTAGAGAATCCAGAGAGAAGAGCAGCATATCTTTTGTGCAGAATGGAATGTTTCGAAAGAGCATCACCGGCTTTGAAGGAAATACTACTCAGAATACACCGGTAAGCAAGCATGGTTTATACTTGGAACAATCCTCCTAACACTCTTATTTCCTGGCTTTAATTGGCATTTTCTTTGTCTTGTTTATTGTTTACTACCTAGGCTTCAGGGTGGGGTTGAGAACTGGTTGTCTTAATTCTACTGTTCTTTCAATCATTTCAAGAAGACAGAAAAGCTGTTATTTGCATGATGGATCTTTATGTGATAAATGATGCAACTAAATCAACTATTTCTAGTAAATGTTATTCTATTTATTACAAAACATCTTAAGTAGATGTCTCAGGAGAATATGCAGGAAAAACTACCTCGAACAATTCTAAATGGGAAACTAGGTAAAGGTAGTTTACCTCCCACGATAGGGCCCTGCCAACTTTGCCAACCCTGGTAGAAAGACTGCTGTATACAAAAGGCGACATTACATTAGAGAAGAAAGAAATAGTTCAATCCCATGAAAGTAGGCAGAAAGTAGGCCCGAGTACTGCTATGTAAATTTACTCTCAAGGTGAATTCTACCTAAAAGGATTGATTGGCTTCTTGTCAAAATGAACAGACAATCTTGGTTGTTAATTTCCTAAGGTTTCTCTTTAGAATTCCTAGTTCTAAATTATATACTTGACAACTACTTAGTTGAAGACAGAAATTTTCCAAAACTACAAAGAAACAAGTATAGGACAGGTAAAACTTCTAAGTTTCCTCCTCATTTTCCATTTCTTCAACAATCAAGTCATGCCTATATTGGTCCAACCAAAAGCCTTGTTTTCATCAAGATTATTCATCTCATGACAGTGCAGAAAAGGCCATAGAGGTCGATCATCACTTGTATGAATTCGGATCTGTGGAATACTACATTCAGGTATGCTTCAAGCAAACTTCCATTGTTAGAGATGGATACACAATGTTCAACTTATATGCACTCAGTAAGTCAATATACAATTTTCTATTTAGTTTTAAAAGTATCAGCTGATGCAGTAATTGAGATGCAAGAATGATTAATATTGTTAGAAGCTTAGTCAGTAGCGAGGAGTTTTCTAGCACCATTAACCATTTGGGATTACCATGACATAGACATGCACGCAATCTAAAGAAGAAAAAGTCATCAACATTTCAAGAAAAACTGTTGAAATTTGGTACAGCATTTATCTCATCAATCCAACTTTTGCTAAATTTTGCCCACCTCTGAGTACATATTTTTTTATGAAGTCTATAGGTATATTATTGATATCAAGTATCTATTAAAACAATACTCATATTTATATATGCATATAGACATTATTGAAATTGTATGGGATATTTTTCATAATTTTGTATTAATCTTTGACAGTCTTCAGCATCTGATCCACAGTATACCTACCTATCAATTTCAACTCCACTGCTGTCCCCAGGAGTTCTGTTGTCACATGGTCTTTCACAATATACCATACAGACAATTAAAGGAATTTCTCCTGATGTTCTGGAGATTGTTGAACCTGCAAAAGAAGGATACCAACTTACACTACGCCTTAATTTAGCCAAGATTCCACATGGAAAAGGTTTGGTGATCCTTTACCCAATGATTTAGCAGTTAACTGCCTCTTGGCAATTATTTTATTTATTTATTAAATCATATATCTTTCAAAACAGAGTTTCCTTTCAAATGGGCTGTTACACCACCAAATTAGAAAAAAGATAACATTTTGAGGAGAAAGAGAAAAATAGGAAATGTTGAAGGAGAAACACATTACCATTAGAAGCACATTACCATTTGAATCTTTTAGCTGCTAAAGAAGGCAAAAGATACATGCTTTTGGATTTTTGGAAGTAGTAGACAACCATCAAAACCCCAATATATAGGTTTTATTAAGATTTATATTCGCTATTGTCTTCATATCACTATCTCAACTCTCAATACCTAACAGACAACTCTTAGAAGAAAATAACATCAGCTTCCTAGTTTATGAAAGAAGTCATACAACTTGAATTGAAGCATCATTTGTTAACCAGAACAATCAACAAATCAAGGCTTCAAATGCCAAGATTGAAAATGTATTTTGAGAAGATAATTCCCAGTAAGCACTTTAAACAGGAATTTGAATAATGAAATCCAACATAGTGCAAATTTCATAAAAACCACTCCAAGCTTCAATATTCTAGGCAGGTAACAAAATATACTCATCTTGGCTTGATATCTAGCTCTAGAGTAACGAAAATCAACAACAATGCTCTGCTAGAATAGCAACTTACTAAGATCCATGAATAAGAAGTTTGGACTTGTCAAACTAATTCAGCTTATAATTGCACTATTGGCATATTCTTATTTCAGACCCTGTAAAGGTAATCAAAGAAATTTCATCAGTGCAAGCAGTGATACTAAGTTCTCAGCTGAAGGAAATGCTACAGAGTATGAATTCCCAGGAAATATCTCAGGGGACATACAAAGCAATCAAACTGGTCTATCACCCTAGAGAACCATTCTATGTCATCAGACAGGTAATTACTTTGTGTGAAATAATTGACATTTCAGAGAAGGTTAAATGCCCTTGAAAGCTTACAGTAGACAATTAACTTCAGGAGGCATATATCTGCTCATTTCAAGAATAGCTAAATAGGCCTATCAACATAATGATTCATGATCCTTTATCAAGTTTTTCATTTCAAAAAAATAAAAAAATAAAAAATAAATAAACAACAATGGCATAGATATAACAATGGCACAGATTGAACAATGTTCCACCATCTTTATCCTTTTGAGTCAGGAATTTTGACATATCACTATGCATGATGATAATCAAGTCACTGTGTGCACAAATCAAGACAATTTCTCATGCAACATTAAATTTTAAAAATTAATTAAAGTTCTATTCTTTTGGCAGCCTCAAAAGATAATAGCAGTGTTTCCAATGCGTTTCAAAGAACATTCTGATGTCACTATTGCAGCAGCCTTCTTTCAGGTCTCTGGTTGCTTAATCCTCTCATTATTATTAACATTAAAGTCAAATTCCTTTTGGTGCTCTTAGGAATAATGGAATTCTTATTGCTTTTTTTTTTTTTTTCTCCTTTTCTGACAGGAACTCATGGAAGTGGGAAGCTCAAAAGAATTGGCTAAAGCACCTCCTTGCTGCTGGTCACCAATTCCTCCTCCAGAACTTAGAGGAGAACCTTTTGAAGATTTGAGCACCAATGGAGGATTTGTCTCTTTTTGTATACTCTCATTCCCTCATACTGTTATTCTTCAATTCAATCCTATTTCCTATCTAGATTGATCTTTCCAGACTCAATAGACTTGCATACATTTGCAGATATATCTTCAAGTCATATTGAAGGTAAAAAGCTAGACAAGACAGTCTGGAATCTATTGAATTTCTATGCCTATGTGAAACACCACATAAAGGTACTGTGATTTTTGCTGCGTTCCCCATTTCAACTGGATATTCATTCATCCTTCTTATTTGGTCTGAAACATTTTTACATCTGCTGACTGGGTTTTCAATAGTGTACTAGGGGTTTTATACAACGAAAGATGAGAAAGCGCTTGGAAAGCTTAGTAGAGGTACTGGACAGAAATCCTAAAATTAAAGGCATGGTATATAGTCCACCAGTAGAGAGAAGTTACATTGCTAAAGGACATTACATTCTTTCTGTTCTTTGTTCTCATTTCAAAATTCAAGATATATTACAAGATTGTCCATGTCTCAGTTACTGCTAAAAAAACAAGCTAATTGCAATCAAATGACTGTTGAATTTCAACAACTAAATGATCCTAATTATCAAGATCGACATGCAGGTTCTGCATACGGCAAACAAAGAAGAAGACAAACACACTGCAAAACCTCAAGGTATGTATTCAGCTGATATATACATTAAAAAAAGGTTGGTCTTAAAGACAAGTTTAGTCCCTTTAGAATTAGAAGATGCAAAGTAGAAAAAGAGAAAACTAATCTTAAGATGATGCAACCATCATTTATCCATTACATGAAAATTACAAAGACAGTAAATTCTCAACTACAATATTATTTCTTTTTCAGTATTTGTTCCTTTCAGCAGGGCTTGACAATAGACAAAAAGTGAAGTTACAGCTAAATATAACTTTCCTTAATGTCTCTTGGTCATGACTCATGACAATATCTTCTTTTTTTTTTCTTTTTTCTTTTTTTTGGTCTTAAAAGAAAATGCAGGATGCAAGAAAATGAGAACAATGGTCAGGTTATCAAAATCTAGAATTCTCAAACCAGGATGTGCTGATTTCACAAGGAAGATGAGACAAATCCGCTTCCGGATTAAGATTCATGGGTTTGGTCGTTTTCATCGGAGATGGTTGACAATCCCAAAGTTCTCTTCTTCCAAGGGTTATACTAAATTAGAGTGATTTACTTCTCATGTTTGTCACCTCACTTTGAGACCTTGTTTCCATGGATTATAACTAAGTAATTGGATACTATTAATGAAAAAATAAGGTAAACCAATATATTATGCCATCCTATAACAATTAATAGTAATGGTGAAAAGAAAGAAGCTGATCAAAAAACTACAGCAAAGAAAGAAGATAGAATGGCATACTAAGACAAACATTTCTCGTTCATTCTAGACAGTTTTCTCATGGTACTAATATTAGTGACAGACAAGCCCGGAACAACCTTCCTAGAGATTTCTTGTCCCAAAGCCTCTTGCAACACATAAAAGCAACACTAATAGAAACATAGATGAATGGCCAACTTAGTCCACTTCACTTATTCCTACAAAATTAATCATGTTATCCACACTACAGTAGTCTTAACCATAAACAATAAATCAATAATACTCATCATTAATGGAAAACTGTTTGCCAATAACAGGTAACTGCATGTGCTTATGTATATAACGAAGGAATGGCTATAAAGAGCAACGGAAAAAAACTATAAATTTCTATCAGATAAAAATTTTGGGTCTACACCGAGACAGAAGAGAAAAACATACACATTATTCCCTCTCAATTTCATGAACTGCGTGCATCATGTTCTCAGATTCAAGTTCTGCCAGCAAAGGACCACTTTTTTCTCCACACCTCAGATTCTTGAAACTAGACATCAACCCAAACAGCACAAATCCAGCTATCAAGACACCAATTGCATGAACAACAAACAAAAGGTTCACCAAAGCCACAGCTCTTGAACCATCATCCTCAAGTTCACAATGCACATCAGCATTTGCACTCCCTGGGGGCACCAACAGCTTTTGGCAACCTTTGAGACCAAATTTATCAGTGTACAAAGAAAATCCCGCCTGCAGCAACCAAGTGCCCTTGAAAACCAACCCACAAGACAACAAAAACTCTGCAAAGAATGAATTTGGTCTAACAGACAACAGCAGACAAGAACCAGCACAAACAAGAGTTAATTGCCCCAACAATTGATACACCACGCCACCAACACCCGTGATCCCCTCCCCAATAACAGTATACTCGACAAGAAACACAATTCCCGCAAAAGCAAAAACGAAACTCTCATTAACAAGAAAAGGGTCAATTTTTTCACGCAAAAGAAAAAGAATGATGAGTGCCCAGAAGAGTGCAATCGATGCAGATTGGTGGAAGAAGGAGAAACGGTAGGTGGGGTGGCCGGAAAAGGAGAGAAAGATGAAGAATTGGGAGAAGGAGGCGATGGGGAGGGCAACGGAGAGGATGTAAAGATCCAGGTTTTTCCATATGGGGTTGGAGAAGTACCAGGGTTTCGAGCTGAAGAGAGATGGGTTGTTGAGGTAGAGAGAAGAGGAGCAGAGGAGGCGGCGAATGCCAATGGGGAAGAGGAAGAGGAATCCAGAGAAATGGCTTGCCAGCGATGCCATCTTCTCCTGTTTCACAGTGTTTGACTTTCCGAACGGCTACCGGAAAGCTTGATCGGGGAGCAATGGGAGAATTCTTACAGGGAGTTTGGTATCAAAAGTCAGCACAGCAGAGAGAGGCAGAGTGAGGAAACATGCAAATTGCAAGCGCGATCCTCTTAGATTCAAAAACTTTTTAAGTTGGTACAAGAATCCCCAACAACCGTATTCAAAATTTCAAATGTTCCAACCCTTTTATTTTTCTATTTATTTATTTTATGAACTCAAATGTTCAAACGACACCATATACACTCCTCAATTTGAATATAATTTGACAAAAAAAGTGAATATAACCATAATGACTTCCAGAGTTAGGGGTTCTGAGTTTCAACCCTCTTAAAATTTTAAAATATCATAAATATAGTTCATTAATTTTTCTTTTTATTATTTTTATCTTTAAATTTTGTTTAATTTATACAATTTAATGGCAAAACCACCAAGCCCCTGAGCTTACCCCTTATTCTCAATTGGGTTCCTATAAATTTTTAAAATAAATAAGCTTATAATCCCCCCCCCACAATTTGTGCGATTTTGCTCTCTTCTTAATGACAAACTACATATACAATCATACAACACAAACTCTTGTTTATGCCTTGCTTGTGTGGCAACCTCTTTACATATCATTGCCTATGTGGCATTCAAATTCTCTTTAGGAGAGATTTTTGCTACCCATTTTATCCATCTAGATGCAAAAAATATTAAAAAATATTAAAAAATAAAATAAGCAGCAAAAATCTCAATGGAAAGAGAATTTGAATGCCACATAGGCAATGACATGTAAAGAAGTTGTCACGCAAGTGAAGCATAAATGAGAGTTAGTGTCAAGTGATTGCTAAGAAGATGGCAAAATTACACAAATCATGGGATTCTTGAGCTTATTTACTTTAAAAAAAAAGTTTGGGAACTTAATTGAAAATATGGAGTTAGTTTAGAAACTTAACATGGCATTTTGCCAATTATAATCCATTTCTTTAACAATGTTTCATTTTGTCCCAATTTTTTTTTTTTTTTTACTCCACCACTTGCTATGATCCATATATATACTTCCATTTTCTCATGCACTTGGGTGTTCAGGTTCAGCCAATTGACAGTGCATCCGATTTCTCCATTAAAAACTCTTCGAGAGCAATTGTTTAAATTCCTTTCCATTTGCCTGTAACTTTACAATTTACTTATGTACTCTAGGTCACCGAATTAAATATTTGACTCATATTGAACCACTATTAAGAGGCAAATGATTCATTTGAACGGGTATAAAGGGACATATGATACTTTTTTTTTTTTTTTTACAATCAAATATTCACTTGCTTGACATGTTTTATTAATGTATACAATTCACTTGTCTGACCAAAATTAAAAAAACTAATAGAAATTATGTCATTTTCCTTTAGTTTGGAATTATGTCAATTTTATTACGAGTAAAGATTGTCAATAAATCATTTTTCTGGTGTGCTTCGATGACATTTCGTTAGAATCATGCATCAAGCTCAGTTGGCCATACTAGGAACCTTCGGAGTTACCTGAAATTCAAATGTTGAAAAATCAGATGCTCCTTCCTCCGTCGGCCACCTGCCTTCCAATAACACGTTGTTCAGATGCAACAGTCAGAATTTGGTACCTCATTCCACATTGTCCGTCAAAAATCATTCCAATTCCTTGGAATATATCTCCACCGTCAGATAGATTTCATTTCGACCAAAACAACGGTCAGGATCATCCTGCGGGTGATCTCATGGGTCCCATATCCCAGGAATAGCTGGTGGATTTCAAGTTCTAGAGTCTCTCCCACGGCAACATGGCCAAATGGGGACCGTAAATCGCGAGGAGTTTGCAACTAATAAACGTGTTTGATGAAATTCCCCAACGAAAATTCAAAGCCACCAGAATGTGTGGCTCCTAATGCTTCATGGACTCCTCCCTCACTTCCCTCCAATAAAAGGAACCACAGGCTCAAGTTTCTGTACCAAAATATCAGCTGCAGAACAAAAAGAGAACACCCACAAGTTCTAAGCAACAGGAGAAAAACCTGTGAGTTTGGTTGCAGCCACAGAAGAAGAGGGGAGGAGATTCTGGTGCTTCTTCAATGGCTGTTTCAATTTCTGCAACTGGGTTTAAGGGAGGTTTAGGAACTTCATTGAGTTGGGGAAGTTCGATTGCTGGAGAAGACTCTGCTTTGTTGGCTAAATCAGTGCAGAACCAGGTTCGCGTTCGAGTTGCAAAGCCAGTTAGGTTTCAGCCTGTGATGAAGAACGTCAATGAAGGCAAAGGGCTCTTTGCACCTATTGTTGTTGTCAGCCGGAATGTTATCGGCAAGAAGAGGTTCAATCAGCTCAGAGGAAAGGCTATCGCCTTGCATTCACAGGTAACATTCCCCGATTCCTCTACCTTGCCCTTTTTTCATTTCATCTATAGAACATGCAGAACAGGAATTTCTATTATTGCTAGTATGTTCAAAGAAAGAGATGGAAGAAGAGAACCTGAAAAGTTTTCAGCACTCCAAAGAGTTCTGCTGAATCTCTTTGTTCGTTCAAACTGTTTTTCAGGTGATTACAGAATTCTGCAAGTCAATTGGGGCTGATGCAAAACAGAGGCAAGGATTGATTCGTCTCGCGAAGAAGAATGGAGAAAGACTTGGATTTCTTGCATGACGAAGATCATATGTTTTTCCATTTGCTTGAGCACATGCAGTAGTTAATATAGTTCATTTCAGTCACTTCATATAGAAATACTTTCATCTGGGTTACCTCAAGAACCAGAATGAACAACCCCGTATTTTCTACTTTCCTGCGTTCTTTTTCAGCTTCAATTTAGTTGTAATATCTGATTTTCAGAACACTGAAAAGTCTGAAATAAAACTAGGAATTCACTTTTCAACATGGACATGCAGAGAAAACTGATTCAGTTTCCAATGTGCCAGAAAGTCAAAATGAATCTAGTACAATTCACAAGAACAAGACCCATGCTAAATTTGGGCATAAGCCAGGAGACCAAACAAATAGATATCGTAAAAAAATTTTCAATATGTTTAATGTCAAAAATATCATAAAGAACACAGAATATCTCACAGTATTACATCCAGTACAGATCTTTGAAAGTAAGAGAATTTTCACTACCTAGTTTTAAAGTGAAGGAAGAACAAAATCTTGTAACAGAATTCCATTACTTTAGAAAAAAATTGACAGTACAATTCTTACAGCAATTCTTTACCAAGACTGACAGATTTCATACACTGTATCTACTTTTTGCACTCCTGTCTCTTCGGGAGTCATCCTGCAACTGGAAAAAGGAGTGAGGGATGAAGGTAGAGAGTTCATAATCAAAGAAGGTAAATTGTGAATGAGACTCACATGGAAGCTGTAGGTCATTTTGTCAGTGACATCAATGATCTCCTTCCACTTTCTCCCAATGCTCATCTAGATCACAAGGTTCAATTAACATCAGAAACACACATATTTAGAGCGTTTTAAGGGAAAATAACACAGATACAAGCAAGCAAGTTAGCAGACTACTGCTCCCATGGGTGGGGTTATCACCACACCCTCAAAGTGTTAATGGCACTCTAAACTGTTGCATTGCACTTTTGCTTTTATATCCCTTATATTAATGAGTTTTGAAGACATCATTCTCGCTTTCATTTACATTTACTAATGAATAAAAAAGTCAAAGAAAATATATTTAGTGTGGCATTAACACTCTAGGGTGGGGCAATAACATCACCTATGGTATTGTACTTTTTATAGGCAAAATCCAGATAATATGATTACTCAAAAATACAAAATCAACACAAACATTCAGTTTCAGGTATTTACATCAGAAACAAATTGTTGTGAAGTAGTCACCAAACACCAATCTTAGTAAAAAAGTTTAGAGGCATAAAATTTTCAGCTGAAGGATTAAGTTAAGAAAAATGAAAGTGTCTGCAGCAGGAAAGGAGATAAATATCAATTTGACAAATGAAGAACAAATTTCAGTTTGAATTATCAAATTATTAGGACCTATACCTGAAGAGCCTCATTTGTTGCTGTCTTGGTCCATAATGCAAGTTTGTCCTGCCTTTGGCGAACACTAGCAACAACACCACAAACATCATCTGCCTCTTCAAATTGCTCACCAATTAAAGCCATCAACTAACCAAAATAAAATGCACAAATCAGAACAAATTCAGCAAACACTAATGCACCAAAGATCTAGCTGGTTGCCACTAATTCATTCTAAGTGGAAAAAAAAATAATCAAAGTATTCAAGATGCAAGCAATTTACAGTTTCAAGCCACATGTTATCAAGGTTAGCCTTCCTGTTGCTAGGGACAGACCACTTTCCTCCACTAGCACACTCAGGATCTTCCCATTTGGGTTCAATTCCAGCTTTGAACAAGTGGAAATAGGCATTTGCAGGCAACTTGCTGGGCTTGAATATTTGAGAGTGCAAACTGCAGAGGAAACAATAAACCTAAAGAAATCAATCATGAAAGACAATGGAGAAACTTGTTAAGCCCAAACACACAGCATTTGAGCTAATAATTAATAAAAAATTCCTGATTTGAGCTATTTGAGATTTGCAAACCACTAAACAAATGCAAAAACAATCCCCAAAACTTGGTTTCTTATTCACCATTTTTCTTGAAAATTTTATCAACATCTATACCCCAAGATGCAACAAATTGCACATAATCAATTCCTAGCAGATTATTTCAATAAAAACATATCTGCAACATAGAAGAAAATTTCCAAAAAAAAAAAAAAAGTAACATCTTTAAGCATCTTACAGAACCAATATACAAGAAAAGAAACAAGAATTGGCAGTCATTTAACGTCGATCCAAAGGGTATATTAATCCGCTGATACATACACATACATATAATAGAAACAAAAGGATAGACGTGATACCACCAGAATTCTTCAACGGTGTCGAATGTGTAAACTTTGCGGAGAGAAGTTCCCCAAGCGACCCCTTGCTTACGCTTAGATTGGTTATCAAACCAAAAAGCCCACTTCCTTTCCAGCTTGTGAGGCTGCTTTTCTCTCTCTGTTACAGTCGCTGTCGTCGCCGTCGCCGTCGCCTCAACTGCCGCCTCACTCGGCACTGCTTTTTCCTGGCTTCCTTTCACGATGCCTTCTCTCCAAAGAGGACGTGAGGGGAAAGGCTGATGCTCGATAGTCTTTTCCTCTTTCGTTCTTTGTTCGTTTGAGCCTGAATTGTTTTGTTGGTCCAATGGGCATTTTTATTGGGTCCATGTTGGATTTTTTTTTGGGCTAAGGGCTAGCTTGGA